AAGACTGGGCGGCTCCGTCCCGCCGCCACCTGGGTGTCCCCAAATCCGAGGTTTCATTTTTTGGGTGTCCCCAAATCCGAGGTTTCATTTTTTGGGTGTCCCCAGAACCGAGGTTTCATTTTCTGGGCGTCCCCAAATCCGATTTTTCATTTTTTGTGTGTCCCCAAATCCGATTTTTCATTTTCTGGGTGTCCCCAAATCCGATTTTTCATTTTTTGGGTGTCCCCTCCCGCCCCCGCCGCCTCCCCCCGCAGTCCCGGATGCCGTAATGGAACCGGCGGCGTTTTTGGGGCCAAACCCGGGACAACATTTCCCTTCTCCAAGCCGCCCTGGCCTCGGATCCGCATTTTTCCAGCCATTTTTTCCATCATTTTTTTTTCATTTCGCGCTGGATGCGGGATCAAAGAGGGTGCGGGGGGTGCGGGGGAGGACCAAAACCGCCGCCAAAGCCCGGCCGGGTCCCGCCGGGACGCGATCCCACGGCGGGAGACAGGGAGGAGACACCTGGAATGCCGAAATTCCATGGGGAGGTGTCATTCCAACCCCTCCTTCCCGAAATCTGCCTCTGCCTGGCTGATCCCTGGCCGGGATTCTCCCGCTCCCGAGTGTTGTTTTTCCCTGTCCCTGGGTGTTGTTTTTCCATGTCCCTGGGTGTTGTTTTCCCCATCCCTGGGTGTTGTTTTTCCTTCCCTGTCCCTGGGTGTTGTTTTTCCCTGCCCTGGGTGTTGTTTTCCCTGTCCCTGAGTGTTGTTTTTCCCTGCCCTGAGTGTTGTTTTTCCCTGTCCCTGGGTGTTGTTTTTCCCTGTCCCTGGGTGTTGATTTTCCCTGTCCTGGGTGTTGTTTTTCCCTGTCCCTGGGTGTTGTTTTTCCCTGTCCCTGGGTGTTGTTTTTCCCTGTCCCTGGGTGTTGTTTTCCCTGGATTCTTTCTGTCCCTGGGCGTTATTTTTTCCTTGGATTCTCCCTGTCCCTGGGTGTTGTTTTGCCCTGTCCCTGAGTGTTGTTTATCCCTGGATTCTCCCTGTCCCTGGGTGTTGTTTTCCCTGTCCCTGAGTGTTGTTTTTCCCTGGATTTTCCCCATCCCTGGGTGTTGTTTTCCCCATCCCTGGGTGTTGTTTTTCCCCGTCCCTGGGTGTTGTTTTTCCTGTCCCTGGGTGTTGTTTATCCCTGGATTCTCCCCATCCCTGAGTGTTGTTTTTCCCTGTCCGTGGGTGTTATTTTTTCCTTGGATTCTCCCTGTCCTGGGGTGTTGTTTTTTCCGGATTTCTCCTTATCCTGGGTTCTCCCTCTCCCGAGTGTTGTTTTTCCCGGCCCTGGGTGTTATTTTTCCCTGTCCTGGATGGTGTTTTTCCCTGGATTCTCCCTGTTTTTTTCCCTGATTTCTCCTTATCCTGGATTCCCCTCTCCTGGGTGTTATTTTTCCTTGGATTCTCTCTCTCCCGGGTGTTATTTTTCCCTGGATTCCCCCTGTTCTGGGTGTTATTTTT